ATATGGAAATAGAACCCAGTGTACTAAGCTTACAGTAGGTTGATAATTTTCCATTTCAATAGTTGAACTCATAAGTCGATCTAAACTAGATCATAATTGAAACTTCGAAGCATTGGATAGCCGTTTCATCCTAGTATGATGGAACTCATCAGAAATGCACATCCACGATCTTACACATGGAACTTGAACTCAGGACTTTCGGTCTTATGCGCGAACGTTTAGATAGACTCCTCAATTCAACTATTAAAATTGATACAATCTCCATAAATTCACATTCTGATCATTTCGCATTTAATAATATAATAACAGTTTGTATGTGAGATTTAAAAATTTAAAGATATACTTGAATTCAGATGAGGTTAGGAATGTGAAACTGACGCTTATGTTCTCATTCTTAGGATTATCTTCACTTTATCAGTGATATTTACAAAAACATGTTTAGTGTTTTGGTCTCAATCAATATATGCAGACAAATTTTAACGTAAGAATGAATTTGTTATAACTTGTGGTTTTATACCCTTGGTTCTTTGTTTTTCACCCCGTCGCCAATTGTTATGACGCTCTGTTTTAATTCGTCTAATGTTATAACGGTTGGATTTCCACGTTTACACGTATGGGACGTTAATTTACCTTAGACGAATATTTACACTAGATTCCCTCCCAATGTCAATTCTATAGGACTTTAACACAACTCAGATCAAGAACACGTGATTAGGTTTACTAGAACATAAATATATTTCCACACCAAAACCCGACACAATCCAACAGCAATGAACGATCAATAATAATAAGGATAAGGGAATATATAACTCATCTGACACCTATCAGACTATCTACAAGTCTGACTAATCAGACAACCAATCATTATCATCATTCTCGCCCACACATCAGAATTGTGATGTAATTTCTAATCCAATTTAATTTAATAGCACACAGTGATAAAATTTAAGAATTAAATCTGTGAATAGTCCACCGAATGACTGTATTTATTAAATATGCCATCGCGTCATCCACTTAGTCGCTGAGTCTTGGTGGCTACTAGCTTATGCAGTGGAGTGAAGTTTTAATTTATTTTGTATTATTTGTTTGTATCTTCCTATTAATGCTTAGGACAGATGTTGATAAGTCTCTTATTGGCATATATACATTCTGTGCAGTATTGAGTTCGAGTCTTGGAGTGACTATTAACTCTGGGATGCAGGTACATAAAGCTCACGAGTCCCAAATAGAACGAAAAGAGTGTCTTAGTTTTCACTGATAGCTACTATCCACCTTAAGGCAATATCAAAGCAATCCGTGCAGGATGCACATGTTCCAACAAGAGACTGATCAATTGCAGACCTTAGCAACAATAAGAAGATACAAACAAACAACACAAAATGAATGTAAGTATTAATGTCAGTCTAGTTTATTCTAGTCTACTTTGAGCATTAAAATAGAAAAAATATGACGAATAAAATCCAAACAACAGTCTAATGCTACATTTATTCTTGATTGAGATCATATATCGATTGATGTTAGACCACTATTGAAAACCTGGAAGCACTGGACGGCCGTTTCATCCATCACTGATGGATGCCAGATCAGTGGTCTAAAAGTTAAGTGTTCACTCATGAAACCGAAGGTCCATGGTTTGAATCCCGCGAGCAGGATAGTGGATGTACACTACTGAGGAGTCCCATACTTGGACGAAACGGCCGTTCAGTGCTTCCAGGCTTTTTTATGACGATCTAGCTTTAACTGACTCGTGAACTCAACTATTAAATAAAATTTTACTGTGAAACAATTAGATTGAAGTTTAAGAATCTATGTCATTCTAGAGAAATTTATGTCATCTACTAAACAATCTCGATTACAATTTTAAATAGTAGTTTCAATTTTGTTTGATTAAATGTTTCACGTCATTTGAAAACTTCGCTCACCGATTACGATTTAAAACCTATGGGTTACAACTAACTACAAGAAAGACAAATAATTTACGTTTATTGAACAAAGCTGAATTGAAACAGACAATGTAATCTACGTGAACATCTTTAAAGAGATAATGTTTCATTTTACTTGAATACTAATACCGTTTTACGTCTTCACATTGGTTGATATTTATGTTAATGGACATAGAGTAAAATAGTGATGATTACTCCTTCACAATTAATTGAACTGAAAACTGTTATGTAAACGTAACAATATTTAATAGATATTACTGGTCATCATCTTGTACGTAGGAGTGTGGAGATAGTTAGGACAGACTTATTTTGTAACTAGGTTTTACTAATATTTGCATTTCATTCATTAATTCTCATAATTTGTACATTTACTATGAGTAACTGTAAAATGGTTTTTGAAAAGCTCATGAAGCTGGATTTTCTGTTTTCGTTTTGAATCCCCCTTCATATTGTGGTGTGTGCTACTGATGTCGATACATATAAGTAGTATGTATCAATAAGAAGTGAAATGCATGTAAGCAGAAGGTTAAGAAGTTCGAAGGTAAGAGAACGAGAACAGAGTATGATTGGTGTGGAAACGATGGAACAACCAAGTTTGAGACGATTGATTGATATTTTGCAAATAAAGTATTTACTATGTGGTTCACAGATGTTCTATTTTTCTTACTTGTGTTCTCGTTCACTACAATGAATGTTTGTCACAAATACACTGCTACACACATATGTGTCTTATTTTTAATTACCTATTTTTGTGATATCAAAACTCTAATGTATTTATTATCTACGTTTACAGACCACAGTAATATTCTGATTATATGCTTCGTCTGGATATACATTTCGAACTATAACAATTGTGATCGGAAGTATGAACCACTTATAATTGTGGATTACAAACAGCTAAATAGGATAGGTAAAGACGAACAGTGGCTAGTAGTGGAATCCAAGATGCGCGTTTTGTCCTACTTGGGACTTGTCAGCTGGATGTACCTGTATCTCAGAGTTGATGTTCACTCTAAGTCTCGAACCCAGTGCTGTATATGCTAATAAGTACATATGTCAATAAGAGAGAGAGATCAATTACGGTCCTAAACACCAATGGGAAGACTAAAGTAAACAATAACAAGTGAAGCTAAATAGGATGTTATTGATTAACTAGGATGATCAAACAATAATACTGTACAGTAAACTAATGTACCAGTGTTTCTAAGTAGGATACTGTGTTCTAATATAGGATATGGTTACCAAACGGTTATTAAAAAGTAACTTCAAACAACTAACAATAGGAATAAGATTAACAGTTTTATTCAAATCAAATCCAAATCATTCAATCTTAATAATGAAATTATACTATTGTCCACCAATCGGTTATAGGTCACCTGGAAACATAAGTGATATAATGAACACTGAACGTTTATTTAAAATGTAAATATCGTTACTTAAAATATGATTCATCAATGCACACTGTATTAGAATTTGATTCTTATTCCATATGTCATAGAAGTGATGCGAATATCACTTAATATTTCAGTCACTAAATCATATTGATAAAGGTTCATGTTTCATTTGGTCAACACTAAAATACCGATCATCATTCTACCCTAATCATTTATACACAAAAATTGGAAATAAGGTAAACTGTGAAGGTTTCTATTGTTATTGAAAATGAATCTAATTCATGTATAGATTAACTGAACAATGTACTACTTTTCGAACCTAAAAACATTCATTTCCTATTCATACTTACAACGAGTTGTTTGTATTTAAATATAATTATTTTCAATAATAAATACAAGATTTTGATTGAGATCAAGAATCATTGAAAAGCTGGACGCACTGGATGGACGATACTGTGGATTCATGATCCTACTCGACGGATACGAACACAGGTGTCGCGCACGAACGCCTAATCTCTAGACCAATGAGCCGGTCAGTAACCGACGATGTTAATGTCTAAACTCAACCAATCCACAGAATTGCTCGACCATCTTCCATTGCACTGAGATAGATACCTGTTTCTATTCAAAACGGATTATCTCCACTGGTCATGGCTTCTCACCAAAAATCCGAAAATTCCCTCACTAGACACATGAAAATTGTCAGTATGGGGTTGTGAAAGTCATTAACATTTTGATTGAGATCATGAATCGAGTGATGTCAGACCACCACTGAAGTATGTTTATTTGTTTATAAAAGTATAATCTGTCTGACTGTATTAATGGTAGCAACATTTAAGTGTATCCACAAAATGTGTTTCACTAACTCATTGAATAGTAATTAAATGGACCAGTTATCATAAACAACAATAACAACAACAATTTATCATTGTTAATTAAACAATTTATTTACAGTTGATTACACAATGTTATTCCATGTGAAATGTACAACATTGAATGAAGTAATAATGGCGCACAATTAAACAGTACAAGAACATATACAACAGTTTTATGATAAGAGGAAGAATAAGGGGAAGAATAGAATAAGGATAAGTGTATAAAAGAAGAACACTGATGAATGGACCACTGGAATTCATACAAATGATATATGTATATATATAAACAATATGGAAAATTATGCAACACAATCTACAATACGGATAGATAATCCAATCAATCAGTGATTGTGTTCACTATGGATTCATTTGATGATGATTGGATATGAATAATGGTTCCTGTATGAATTGTGTATGACATACAGTGTTAGCTTAACTCTCTCCCTACTTTATAACCATGTACTAGAAATGCTAACAATGTGAGGTGTTACACAAATAAGCGTGTGTAGATTTGATGGTCTATTCCTTATCTATTCGAGTTACACAATCTTTGTCACGAATCAGAAATGGAGTTTCCAGTAGCTTCATTGAAACTGACAGGAAGTGTCTTACTACATGTTATTCAATGATATGATAATGCTATCTGACAAATACACTACAAGACTCTCCTCAACTACATACAGGAATATTCTATCCACTTTAACAATAATAATATTCACAAATTTTAATTACTAATATTATATAACATGCAGTGTGTACGTGTGTACGTGTGAGTGTGTGTGAATACTTCACTTACCACAACATACTTTCCCACCAGTCATTTGTTCCATCGTATCATTGTGTATTACAGTTGTATTCATGACACCACTAAATAGTGAGCACCATCTTGGACGATCCTGTATAAATACCAAACAAATTTGTGTTGAATGTGATGAAGATGATTTTTGTTTTTATGTACACTTTCAGAAAATTTTTAATTAGCAGCAATAAATGGAATGATATTGTTTGTGAATCGTTCACTTGAATGAACATAATAAAGTGTGTATTTTGTGTGTGGGTGCTGTGACACTGTCCTGGTGGCCAGATCGATGCAGGTGGTTTCGTTGGGTAGCCACACCTGGAGCCTTCGACCTGAATGGCTGATCCACAACACAGTGAAACAACATCAGAGGATGCAGTCACATGTTAGTCGGCGACTAACAATTGCTTCACACACCATTTGTTTCGTTCAGGATCCTGGAGTCCATGTGAACAATTGGTTTAGAATACTGGTTTTCACACTCCCCTAGGTGGACATTCCGTGTCCACCAACGTATCACTGTTTAACTTTCAGAATATTATCGATTGATTATCTGTCTTAGTCTTAAAATATTTGGACACACGTTGAATTTCCTGATGAATATATATTGCCGGCATCATCAGAGGAAATTCCAACTGATGAGCAAATCAGTGTTCCTAATAATCTCAATACTCATATTTGATTTTTAAAGAGATCTCAAAGTATAATTACACTATTCTGCAATAAACTACATATCTAGAATGTATCTTAGTAACTGTCTTATTTTTGAGCTACAATTTCCTGTAGATTTCTGTTCTTCGACATTCACTTTAGTATATTGCATTATACTACTAACTAAGATTCAGTAACCAGTTCAACACGTTCGAAAATAAATCTATTTCGAGGCCAAATCATTCATTGCAACAAACCAAATAATTTCAATACGCTCTCACGGTTTATGCATTCAACTCGATAACCGTTCGACTTCCTATAGGATCCAAACTGTTTAGTGGATTTCGATACCTGACAGTCACATTTATTTGTAATGTCTCTTGTATATAAGCATCATTTATAACATAAATATCAATAAATGACTGTGTATTATTATTATTATTATTATTATTATTATTATTATTATTATTATTATTATCAAAACGATGAGCAAAATATACTGAACTTACAACAATATATGAAAACGACAGGCAGTAGGGATTGAGTTCACATTCGCTAGCACAATTTATTGTAGCATTGACTTGCCTGAGCAAATAGGTACTGAGGAATTGATTGTTCGGTAATCCTGGCTTCACTACATAATATGTTTGATTACATTGCATGAGTTTTGTACAAGTGGAACATGGGAGACACGGTGACATGATAACTCCATAGTTTCTAATATCATCTGGAATAGAAAAGTGTTATGAGGTCTTACATCGTTATACACACAGTTGTCGTATGAAACAAATAGATACTGTGGAAGAAATTATTTATTAGTAAATGTTTAAATTAAATACGAGTCCGTGTTTCGCATATTGCTGACGCTATCGCGATCCATATACACAAAACTAACCTTCGCATCCGAAACAAGTTTGTACAACCACTCTCACTAGGTTGGCCAACGATCAAGGAGTGAATATACAGCTCAACTTCGATTAAACTCGTTTCATTCAAAATTATTTCAACTATCTTCTAATTTCTTACACATTTGTCTCTTGATCCTGACGTAATCGCTTCAATACTGGTCTATGAGTGAGTGAACAAACTTGATTCAAATACAAGTAACCGGTCATATAGAATTGTTGTCCCATCCATATATCATTGTATACACATGCCGAATTGAAGCAGAATCATTACATGTTTACTGTAATAGACCGTTTATGAAAACTATTGCTGTCCGAAACCAAAGTGAATACATGTTCTTGTTAGCTAGTCATTTCCTTTTAATACACTCTGTGTGATCAATTCGAAATACAAATGTTCCATTTGTTTAATTAAGCTTAATCATTGAAACTTACTACAGCATATTTGTGTTCCAAATTCGAATGCGGTACGATTGTATAATTCACTAGTTATATTGATCGGCTTTGAATATAAGGTGCATTGTGTTGGTAAATCCTAATAAAAGTGTCAAAATAGAAAGCACATTTTATGAAGCGAATAATAATCTGAATGATTTATGGAGAAGATGAGATTACTTTGTTTTAACCAAAATGTTGAATAAAAGTTTCAAGGTGTCCTGGAATTGGACGCTTTCATCTACAGTGTGAGATGTATACAGTTGATCTGATTAAAACAATAAGACACAATTCACATTCTACATCTCACTCATTCATTTACCCAATGCGGTACATTCATATGTTTAAACAAAAATATGGAAATTCATTTCAACTTACAGTTGGACTTGTGTATGAATAACATAGGGGATTCGATAGACATTCATTTAAGCACGATGATGAAGTTTGGACCATACTAAGAGTATAGTTGTTTATAAATGACTGATTTGGTAGTCCCCATCCACCTATCCATTTTGAATAATTACAAGGCATAATTTTACTACAGTTCGTACACCATTTACATGTCGATAACACATTGATACTTGATCTTGAATTTAATTGTGTGTAATAACAAGCGAGGAAGTGAATTGAAATGTATGCATGAATAATGAATAAATGTTTAGTCATTTGGAGTAAGTTAAAAATGTATAAAGGATTAGTATATAAATGATTTGAGATCTAACTGAACAATGATGATTTCCGTTGAATTTCAGGCGTTTATATAGTTGGATGTCATGAGCACACTGACCAATCAGATATATCCTCTCTTTTAAGTGCTTCCAGGTTTGCATTTGTAGTCTTTCATTGAGCTATCCATGGTCTCAATCAAAACCCACATAATTCCACTACAAAAGCTGAAATACAATACAAATAATAGAATACAAATAATTGTTAAACATGGTAGTTGCAATTGATGAATAGAATACATTTACTAATGAATATTGTGTATATGAGGTGAAGTGGAATGGTGTCATTCTATTGTATCCCTGATAACATCAATTGTATTCTCTTTTATTTGTTTAAGTGAACTCATTGAATTCGCCTCAACTTCATATTACCGATTTTGTATTTGTTGTTCACAAATACAAAATTTCTTATTAGTGATATACAGTTTTGTAAGTTCACTTCATTCATTCATTCATTCATTCATTCATTCATTCATTCATTGAAGTTCTCACAGGATTGTCACATTCTGTTTGTACTTGTGTTATGATGACTGCTGTAATAAAATGCATTCAGCTTTCATTTGTAATTTCACACTTGAATTACATAAATGCGTATAATTGTGCATTGTATATGATGGAACAATGGAAATAGTACAATACACAATTGCCCCATTGTGTTGACTGAATACAATCAAATGAAACAGTTCTCGTTCTAGGTTACATTGTGAATGGTAGTTAAGGAAGACGGAACAATAAGCAGAAGTGAATCGTTGTTAAGAGATGAAAGGAGAGAAGCTGTGAGTTGGGTGTGTGAACGACAGTTGAATGCATCAAATGTTGAATAGCTCCTCAACTAATACTTACAATACAATCTATAAGAGTAATGCATCACTGTATTTCATTCATTGCTTAATAAATTGTTCCATTATTCCACAATACATACACTTTGTTGTGGTTTCCTTGGGTAATTATAGTTATACGACCTTAAAATGAGTGAAATTCAAAACAATGACAACAAGCAACTGTTTCAAGCAAATGAAAGAAATCCACTCAAGTGAGTAAATGTCCTTACAGCTAAGTGTGAAACCAACTAAGTAAGTAAGTAAGTAAGTAAGTAAGTAAGTAAGTAAGTAAGTAAGTAAGTAAGTAAGTAAGTAAGTAAGTAAGTAAGTAAGTAAGTAAGTAAGTAAGTAAGTAAGTAAGTAAGTAAGTAAGTAAGTAAGTAAGTAAGTAAGTAAGTAAGTAAGTAAGTAAGTAAGTAAGTAAGTAAGTAAGTAAGTAAGTAAGTAAGTGAGTGAGTGAGTGAGTGAGTGAGTGAGTGAGTAAGTACTAGGAATTGACTATGCAATTACAATACATGCAGTGTTGTATGATGCTTAGGTCAATTACCCACATTCCTTAAACAGTGAAAAGAAATTAAAATGCTTGATAACAGTGTGATTGAAGGGTAATATGTTCATTCTCTGCCAAACTGCTTTCAAGAATCTCTTCAAAATGTATTGAAACCAGTGAATTTAAACAGTGTTCGCAATGTATAAGTGTAGTTACTATTTCGTAACGAAATAATCAACCTCTGTTCGCTACTATTTAAATCTGAAGAAGTAACTAAATCGGAATACTTATATACAAATATAAATATAGTGGTTGGTTGTTGCTTTTGTAAACAAATGTGATTATGATCAGTGGAATGTTTCAGGGATAATTTGTGAATATACTATTATGAGAATGGGGACTTGTAGAGATTGTAGTATCTTAACAGGTGGATTGACAAGTCGATGTAAGAGAGACCATTATCGAAAACCAATCATGGATCGATTGAAACTAGACATCAATACCTTTATATGTATGCTCAGTGGTCCAGGGTTTAGGCGTCCACACGAGATACAGAATACCCCGAATTCGAGTCCCGTGTGTGATTTGAAGCATGCGCAATACTGGAGAGTCCCATATTACGATTAAACGGACATCCAATGCTTCCATCTTTCCAGTGGAGCTCTTGCATCGGTCGATTAATGATATCAATCAAAACTCAACAATTTCCACAACCCTATACTGTTAATCTAAATAGTTTACTTTCTCGATCTCAATTACATCCTGTAGAGTAAATACCTATTGAATTTTTTACATTCACTTCTTATTCACAATTATCATCTATAATGATATTTAGTGGTTGGAATGAATAATACCACAATATTGAGAATACGGTAACACTATACTTGATGGACTACATGTGATTAAAGCGTTGTCAAACTCCGAATACCTGTGGCATCTTCAATATATTGAGTCTTAGAAATCCAGTCACATTGTTATAATTGAATATACTTCTTATAGTTTTTTGAAGGTTCTGATTATAGACAGAGAATATGATTATATATTCTTCATCAGTTATATCACTATTACCATCGATATTCATGTCATATAAAAATGGAAATGATAGTGGTTTCGAACTTAAGCAAATTGTGGCTTGTAGTACGGTTATGTTGTATCTTTGCTTTTCAGACAGTCGACCTGTTTAACATATCTGGGTGCAAGTGTACATTGACATCATTCATCAGCTAATTAGTAGGGTCAAAACACCAGATCATCAAACAGAACTCAACAACAAACTTAGGATCCAAAGCACAAGAAGTTTGAATCAGTTAAAGAAGCTGTACATTTGGATTGAGTGTGTTGTTCAGAGTGTAAACAAAATGTAGATTATGTACAATACAGATCCCAAGTGTAGTTATAACGAATTTCTGTCATGTGGAATCATTTTGATCCTAATGTTAACGGTGTGGCGTAAAATTTATGTTTGTGATGTGATATTCACTGTCGTTTCCATACTATCTTCAATTCCTTATTGGTTGAGTAAGCATTTCGAAAATTATCACATTGTGGGTTGACATCATAGATTCCTCAAATATTCTTCTGTTGTTATCTAATTTTGTAGTCCTTTATCTCAGATGGAGCCAACCATCACTCAGCAGTATTCGAAGTATCTATTGAACAATTAGAAACGGTTACTTATTGAGGATATTCAGGGAATTGCACTACCGACATCCACTTGTTCCACTTAGTTTATTCCATATTTTTAATTTTCTAAAGAATCCTTTATAGAATGTACGAAAATGAAAATTGGATGTAAATTCTTGTTGTAATGATGGTACCATGTTTTTGTTCAACTGATAGCTGGATTATATTAAGATGAACTAAAGAGTGACATCAGCAAATGTAATTCATTTTAGGATTATAATGGAAACTCGCACCGAGACTAATCTCTAAGCGAATGTCTTTAAACCCTAAATTCAATCTATGTTATACATACACACTTGTTTTGACGCCTCTTTGTTCATTAGGCATCATATTCTCAGATAAGCAGAAGTAGTGTATTTACTAATCTATGAAAATTTCCCCGTTTTGATTTAATTCAAGAAAATTCAGTCATTAATTTTGTTGTCTACAGTTCTAGGAGATCTTTTGGTTTCTTTCTCATTTGCATTATCTTAACTGTAGGATTGAAGTTAACAACAGAAACTGTTTTCACGCTGTTCACAATGAACTTGATAAATATGATATGAAGCATGTATCAATTGTTAATGAAACTGTTTTCAACTAAATTTAACTATTGACTGTGTATATAATGCTCGTGGAAATACAATTGTCAGGATCTTTGTCTGTTACAACATACCTGTTTGAATATCGACTGAAAATACAAGCAATCAGTAATATTCTGGCTTATTGCATCAAAAACGGATTGACATCGATCTCAAGCTAGTTGACACGCATTGGCGAAACAAGCATACACTGATAATATCTATGTGGTTCCAACTCACGTAACTCAGCTTCACAATCTGGTAATGCAAATAATCTCTCATCAATGTTCTATATCGATCACATTCTGAACAAGCTGATACGTGAATATGTAGTACGCAGTTGTCCCAGTTCATCCAGTTTCCAATCGTCTTACTAAATTTATTCAACTGGAATAGAGTTGTTGGCATATAAGTAGTTTGATGTTTAGATTCTCGCTATAAAACGTGAAAGTGTGAATAGAGATTCATGGTGCTGTAACAGATATGTGCTTTTGAGGAATTTTGTATCTAGTTATTCATTTAAAAATACCTTTTCAAATAAATTACGAAACTTTGATTCCCTGACGCAATAGCTGTATCGAACACACGGGATGCGCAGCACTACCGCATAGGTCTATCGAATATTTTGTTATTAAATCACTACATAGACTTATTCAAATTAATCTGAGTGAGTGTTATGTAAGTGGTTTATGATAAGCTGGAAACGTTACAATACTGAATCTTTTTGAATACATCTCCGTTGTAAAATTAACTCTCGAAGGTAAAAGCTGGTAGTTTTAACGTTTTATTTGTATACTTTGGTTTTGTTATCAAACAACACATCTTTACGTAACTTTCATAAATCGAGAGCTGTTATGTGAGGCAAATTAATTACAGAATAATCACTTCAAGACAAATCATTAATAGATTAGCAATGAGTAATATCATAACCGAACCTTAATTTCGTTAGTTATTTCTTCTTATTCTTATTATTACTATTATTATTTTCTATGTCTAAACTGCATTGATGAATCGTGTGGCTCGACTGATATTCTGATGTTATACTTGAAAGTGAAGCTGTAAACTCGTTAGTTGGATGAAAAACTATCAAATGAAGTGATATCCACAAACTACGGTGTGTGAAATGTTTGAATTCTTCGGTGGGAGAATTCAATGCCTTATTCTGTTGATGATA